CCCCCCCAATATTGAGTAGGTCCCCCTTTTCCTGACCCATCCAGACATAGACTCCAGTAGACCTCTGAAGGCATGTTGTGGTATCTGGATGACCCCCCCATATTGAGTAGGTCCCCCTTTTCCTGACCAATCTAGACATGGACTCCACTAGACATCTAAAGGTATGCAGTGGTATCTGGATGACTGCCCAACAATATTGAGTATGGAGACACCTAGTTCTGGTGACCCTGCTGACCACCAGGGATTTCCTCTCACTTCCTGTTGTGGTTGTCAGATAGGAAGTAAAGGGAAATCTCCCCAGTGGGATACATGTAGCAAAGAAAAAAGCTGACGGGTTATATTTCTCCATTACTCTCCCCAAAACTAATGACAAATGTTGGCTTCAATTCGATTAGGAAGCAAAAAGCAGCACCACAAGATGTCTGCATAAACCCTTCTTGTTTCTTAAAGTGCATGTACACCCCAACAATGAACGTCTCTCCTATTTGCCCCCTTTTGGTCTGTTTAAGATCCCATTGAAAGCGTTTTGTTATATCTGTTCAATAAGTACAAAGAACGGCCATTGATCCTGCCAGAAATCCAATGGCAGCCTACATGTGTCTTTCATGGCAGGGTTCCTTGGAGGGGCGGAGTCCTCCTGCACAGAGTAGAGGGGAAGGGGATCATGCCTCAGCAGTGAGGGAAGGCCAATGGTTACATCCTTGTCATGTATCATCCGTGCGTTTCTCTTTCACCCTCTCAGGTCGCATCGACGTGTCGGAGATCCAGGAATGTTTTCAGAGCCTCGGCGTCCATATCACCCTGGACCAGGCCCACAAAATCCTGCTGAGGTGAGAGAACGAAGGCTTATTTTTACATCTGTGTCCCTTCACTTCCTGTCCGATAGCCACAACAGGAAGTGAGCGGAAATCCCTGGTTCACCCAAACCCGCTAAACACTGTGACTGCCACCCCCACCTCCCGGCCCAATCTGTGACGACAGTTGCGGTGGGGACGCCCTCTGCCCCCTTGTGACATATATGGTAGCTATAGCAGCAGCTGATTGGGTTGGGAGGTGGGGGTGGAGGTCACCGTTGCGCTAATATCGTGACATAATCATATCATGTGACATAATCATATCATGTGACTGCTGATCGCTCAGCTCACAATCTCCCTGCTGGTATTCCAACCTCCCCTCTCTTTGTTCCTCCACCTCTCATTGGAAGGACAGATCCGGGAGGGCGCAGCCGGCTGTGGCAGAGCCAGCTGTCAATCAGGCAACGGGGTGGATCCCAACAACATTGGCAGGATGTTTCCGTGCTGTCAGCATATAGCAGGCAGTAGCCCTTAATATGCTGACTTTGGGTCACAGTTAGGGATGCACCGATACAGAGTACTCACACTCGCCCAAATGCTCCGATACTTACCTCTGATACCAGAACATCGGTCAGAGGAAGATCTCCCTCTGACCGGCAGTGCCAAGGGAGCATGGAGCCAGCTTCCTTTCCAATTAGGGAGGCGGGTCATGACGTGTTGTCTGGCTTCCTGATTGGCTAGGAAGCCGGCTTAACTTGTTACTAGGCATCCTGGCTTCCTAACCAATCACAAAGCCGGGGGCACGCCATGACCCGCCTCCCGACTTCCTGATTGGTGAGGAAGCAAGGCTGCCTAGCAACAAGTGAAGCCATTTTCCTAACCAATCAGGAAGCCGGGGGGCAGGTCATGACCTTCCACCTGGCTTCCTGATTGGCTAGGAAGCTAGCTTCACTTGTTACTAGGCATCCTGGCTTCCTAACCAATCAGAAAGCTGGGTGGCACCTCAAGACCCGCTGCCCGGCTTCCCTACATAGTCAGAAGGCCAGGCTTCCCAGGCAATCATGAAGCCTGGCATCGGGTCATGCTCTGCCGCCCGTCTTTCTGATAATCGGGACACACGACACCGGTGTCGGTAGTCGGTATCGGCGAGTACTGGAGAAAAAATATCGGTACTCGATTCCAAAAAACCGGTGTCGGTGGGGTGCATCCCTAGTCACAGTAGTACATTAGTAAATTTACTCCTGGGACCCAGAAGAGAACTATAGCCAAAAAAATGTGTTCTCTTCAATAATATAAAGACTTTTATGTGTCTGCCACCTTGTGGAGCTTGCGGTCATTACACAGACCACGCCTCCATGGACCTGACGCAGTGTTCCTTTATGATTATAGCATGGACCGTGACGGAACGCTGACCATCGATTGGCTGGAATGGAGGGATCATTTCCTGTTGAGTCCGCTGCACAATATGGAAGACATGGTCACTTATTGGAAGCATTCCTCCGTGAGTATATCGGTGGGGGGTAGATGCAGCATCATGAAGGAGAACTGTGCTTCACGTAGCAGACACCCCCCCATGACCCCTTTTATGCTCAGCGCATTCACATATATGTAAAAATAGATCATAGACTCACTTTATAGTGAAGTCATTGTGTCATTTCTATGAGCGAATTGTAAGTTCTTGTTGCGGTGTTTAGGTTATTACTTTATTTATAGGCCCATAAGTGAAAATAACTCGGGGCCTTACTGGTTAAAGGGTTTGGATTATTGTCTTCTCCATGTAGAACAGGTCATTGTTCCTCAGTGGTCAGCTGTATGGTGGTTGGTGTTGGATGTTTCCTCCATGTAGAACAGGTCATTGTTCCTCAGTGGTCAGCTGTATGGTGGTTGGTGTTGGATGTTTCCTCCATGTAGAACAGGTCATTGTTCCTCAGTGGTCAGCTGTATGGTGGTTGGTGTTGGATGTTTCCTCCATGTAGAACAGGTCATTGTTCCTCAGTGGTCAGCTGTATGGTGGTTGGTGTTGGATGTTTCCTCCATGTAGAACAGGTCATTGTTCCTCAGTGGTCAGCTGTATGGTGGTTGGTGTTGGATGTTTCCTCCATGTAGAACAGGTCATTGTTCCTCAGTGGTCAGCTGTATGGTGGTTGGTGTTGGATGTTTCCTCCATGTAGAACAGGTCATTGTTCCTCAGTGGTCAGCTGTATGGTGGTTGGTGTTGGATGTTTCCTCCATGTAGAACAGGTCATTGTTCCTCAGTGGTCAGCTGTATGGTGGTTGGTGTTGGATGTTTCCTCCATGTAGAACAGGTCATTGTTCCTCAGTGGTCAGCTGTATGGTGGTTGGTGTTGGATGTTTCCTCCATGTAGAACAGGTCATTGTTCCTCAGTGGTCAGCTGTATGGTGGTTGGTGTTGGATGTTTCCTCCATGTAGAACAGGTCATTGTTCCTCAGTGGTCAGCTGTATGGTGGTTGGTGTTGGATGTTTCCTCCATGTAGAACAGGTCATTGTTCCTCAGTGGTCAGCTGTATGGTGGTTGGTGTTGGATGTTTCCTCCATGTAGAACAGGTCATTGTTCCTCAGTGGTCAGCTGTATGGTGGTTGGTGTTGGATGTTTCCTCCATGTAGAACAGGTCATTGTTCCTCAGTGGTCAGCTGTATGGTGGTTGGTGTTGGATGTTTCCTCCATGTAGAACAGGTCATTGTTCCTCAGTGGTCAGCTGTATGGTGGTTGGTGTTGGATGTTTCCTCCATGTAGAACAGGTCATTGTTCCTCAGTGGTCAGCTGTATGGTGGTTGGTGTTGGATGTTTCCTCCATGTAGAACAGGTCATTGTTCCTCAGTGGTCAGCTGTATGGTGGTTGGTGTTGGATGTTTCCTCCATGTAGAACAGGTCATTGTTCCTCAGTGGTCAGCTGTATGGTGGTTGGTGTTGGATGTTTCCTCCATGTAGAACAGGTCATTGTTCCTCAGTGGTCAGCTGTATGGTGGTTGGTGTTGGATGTTTCCTCCATGTAGAACAGGTCATTGTTCCTAAGTGGTCAGTTGTATGGTGGTTGGTGTTGGATCTTTCCTCCTTGTAGAACAGATCATTGTTCCTCTGTGTTCAGTTGTATGGTGGTTGACGTTGAGTCTTTTCCTCCATGTAGAACAGGTAATTGTTCCTCAGGGTTTAGTTATATGTTGGTTGATCTTAGGTCTTTTTTCAATGTAGAACAGGTCATTGTTCCTTGATGTGCATTTATATTACAGTTGATGTTGGATTTTAACGCCATGTAGAATTTGCAGTTTGCAGTTATATAACAGTTAACCTAGGATTTTTAACTCCATTTAGGACAGGTCATTCATTGTTCCTCGGCGTGCAGTATTATGGCAGTTAATGGTGGATCTTTCCACCGTGTAGAACAGGTCTTTGTTCCTTAGTGGTCAGTTTTATGGTGGTTGATGTTCTGTCTTTACAACCATACAAAACAGGTCATTGTTCATTAGCGTGCCATTATATGGTGGTTGATGCTGGATATTTCCACAGTGTAATATATGTCATTGTTGCTCTTGTGCAGTTATATGGTGGTTGATGTTCTGTTTTTTGCCACCTTGTAGAACAGGTGCAGTTACATGATGGTTATTTTTGAAACCTTTCCTCCGTGTAGAACTGCATTGTTCCTCAGCATGGTGGTTGATGTTGGATATTTCCTTTGTAGAAGAGGTCATTCTTCTAGGCCATCATTCGTAGGTATGCAGTTGTATGGTGGTTGGTGTTGGATCTTTCCTCCATGTAGGATAGGCCATTGTCCCTCAGTGTTCAGTTGTATGGTGGTTGGTGTTCGGTCTTTCCTCCATGTAGGACATATAATTGTTCCTCAGTGTTCAGTTGTATGGTGGTTGGTGTTGGGTCTTTCCTCCATGTAGGACATATAATTGTTCCTCAGTGTTCAGTTGTATGGTGGTTGGTGTTGGGTCTTTCCTCCATGTAGGACATATAATTGTTCCTCAGTGTTCAGTTGTATGGTGGTTGGTGTTGGGTCTTTCCTCCATGTAGAACAGGTCATTGTTCCTCAGTGTTCAGTTGTATGGTGATTGGTGTTGGGTTTTTCCTTCATGTAGGACATATCATTGTTCCTCAGTGTTCAGTTGTATGGTGATTGGTGTTGGGTATTTCCTTCATGTAGAACAGGCAATTTTTCCTCAGTGGTCAGTTGTATGGTGATTGGTGTGGGGTCTTTCCTTCATGTAGAACAGGCAATTTTTCCTCAGTGTTCAGTTGTATGGTGGTTGGTGTTCGGTCTTTCCTCCATGTAGGACATATCATTGTTCCTCAGTGTTCAGTTGTATGGTGGTTGGTGTTGGGTCTTTCCTCCATGTAGAACAGGCCATTTTTCCTCAGTTCGTAGTTGCATAGTGGTTGATGTTGGATCTTTTTTCCATGTAGGACAGGTCATTGTTCCTTGGTGTGTTATTATATGACAGATGATATTGGATCTTTTTTTGAGGTCAGTGATCCTCAGGGAGAAGTTATGGTAGATGTTGGACCTTTCTGTAAGTAGAGCCAATCATTGTTTATTTTTCTGCAGTAATATGACAATGTATGTCTTATCTTTCCTCAGATGTTGGATATAGGTGAGTCACTGGCAGTTCCGGATGAGTTCTCTCAGAAGGAGATCCGCTCTGGTATGTGGTGGAAGCAGCTGCTGGCGGGAGCTGTAGCGGGAGCCGTGTCAAGGACAGGAACTGCTCCCCTGGACAGGTTAAAAGTCCTAATGCAGGTGAGCATGACATTCTTCAGCAGTCAACCCGCAGCTCTGGGCGTCTGCATCTGTTGGATGATTATTCTTTATAGAAAACTGATTCCTGGAGGCTGCCATTGCTGACCTCTTCTTTTGAAAATGTTACTTGCTTGGCTGTCATGCTGCTCACATGATACTGATATGTTGTATTCACTGACCTGGCAGTAGCATGCATTTCAGATCTTGCTCTGCCTTACTTTGCTGCGTACTTGTTTGACTCATGAAGTATTTAAAGGAGAACTATGAGGGGAGGGATTTTCCCTCATCCTCATAATCTGAGCCGACCTGTGACAATGAAACTGTCACATGTCGGCTCAGTAGATTGGGAAGTGAGCGAACACATACCGGCGCTCGCTCACTTCTCGATCCTGTGCTGACAGAGAGCCGTGACAAGGGGGGGACTGGATTCCCCCATCCCCTGTCCAATCCTCCATCGCTGACTGGCGGAACGGACGGGGGAGGGGGCGGGTACAGCTGGCTCTGCCTCTAGATAGGCAGAGCCAGCTGTCACTCACGCAGCTGGGCGGATCCAGACATAATTGTCGGGATCCGTTCCGGCTGCGACGTCTCAGTATACCACGAGCTACAGCTCGCGGTATACTGAGCTTAGGGTGACGGGAGGACGCTAGTTTGTGTCCTCCCATTACCCTTAGGAGAACTATGGGGAAAAGCCCTGACCCCATAGTTCTCCTTTAAATCAGGGAGTCACAATCACAGTCAGGCTTTCAACATTTTCAGAAGTAAGTCATTAAATGGCAGCCCCCATTTTTTCTTTGCACAAGTTTCCTAAAACAATGCACGCTATTATTGGCCAAGCCCGTGTCTTTATGCCGACATTATTGGTGTCTAACCTTTACTGGGTAGGCAATAGTGGTCGAGTATAGATTCCAATCCTGCCAATCGAATTGCTAGACATAAGCTGTTCTCTACAGTCACAGTCTGCCGATCAAGCTGATGTTGGTTGAATTGTGTGATATGCGTTTTATTTCATTGGAACAGGAAAAGGAACTCTACCTAAAACGTATTTTTTATTCTTGGATAGAAAAGGGGAAGGATGAGGTCCCTCTACAGGTCTTAAATGTTGTCCTCTTTTGTGAGAGGGAGATTGTCCTTTGCCTCTGATCTTGCTGGTATAATCAGGGATCTTCAATCAGCTGACCATCCTGGTTTTCCACTCTGGAGCATATTCTCCATGTATGCCTTGGCAGGATCCCCTACAATGCTGACATCACCACCTCTGATCCCATAGTGGATTCCCCATAGAAGAATGCATTGAAAACAGAGGAACCAGGGAGATCAACTGATACCAGAAGCTCTTGATGTCACATGGGGTAGAAAGTGGTCTCCATATTCTCCATGTATTCCTTGGAATCCAGTACAATGCTGACATCACCACCCCTGTTCCCATAGTGGATTCTCCATAGAAGGATGTCCCGAGGGGTAGAAAGTGGTCTCCATATTCTCCATGTATTCCTTGGAATCCAGTACAATGCTGACATCACCACCTCTGTTCCCATAGTGGATTCCCCATAGAAGGATGTCCCGAGGGGTAGAAGGTGATCTCCATACTGGTGTCAGTGGATGAAACTCCGCCTTATGCCAACCAAAACAAAATAAATATTCAGGGAGAGTTGTAATTCAACAAGCTGATTGTGTCCTGTGAGGTTGGGCTCTACCTATTGTAGTGCATCATGATAACTAAACAGTCCACACCACTCTCTTATATTTTTGGTGTTCTGGGACCCTTTGCAGTTTGTCGCTTGTGGTCTCTATTGGACGCACATGCGACAGGGTGACAACGCAGGAGAGCAGTTAGGAGATGGGTACCAAGCATTGCATCCCATGACAGGAAGGATCACCAGGTATTATTTTAATGAAAAGGGCTGTGTCACGTACCTTAGAGGAGTCTGAGATGTCGGGGGCGGCCTCTCTCACTTCTCTGGTCCTGGGGCACCTGGATGGGTACAGGAGCGCCGGGGGCACAGAGGGGCAGGAGTGCCAGTAGTAGCTGAATCCGATGAGCGGGAGTAGCAGAGATGGTAGCAGGTCCAGCGGGCAAGGATAGCAGAATAGTCAGGACAGGCCAAGGTCGTCAAGGTACAGGCTACGCAGTACAGAGGCAGGAGGATGGTCTGGAGCAAGCCGAGGGTCTAATCACTGGAGAGAAGCAGAAGGGTCAAAGCCAAGCCGGGTCAAGATAACAGAAACATTTTCAGGAACACAGGGAAGCTGACGATCTGACAGCAAAGGAGGTTTGGTAGTAACAGCCTTATATAGCCCAGAGGGCGCCAAAAACTCAAACAACACGTCAGCGCGCCCGCACGTTTACGCAGAGACGCTGCACGTGATACAACTCTATTAGCTGCACCAGGCACACGCGCAAACGGCGGTGAAAGAATCCCGGCTCTGGCTCCGGCTTCCTGACAAGCTGATTTAGAAAGTTTGAAAATAACCTTTGAAATGACAGTCACGTTTTAAAGATTACATGAGATTTTAATGACTGCGTTATAAGCTCTACTTTCATTTCCAGGATCTTATATGCGTTGAGCTTGTAACCGCTCCCTATTACTTTCCTATAAATACAGGTATTTATATAGCGCAGTCACTTTACAAACTGCACATTCACATCAGTCCCTGCCCTCAAGGAGCTTACAATATACACTCATTGGCCAATTTATTAGGTACGCCTGTTCAAACGCTTGGTAACACAAATATCTAATCAGCCAATCACATGGCAGCAACTCAATGCATTTATGCATCTAGACGTGGTGAAGACGACTTGCTGAAGTTCAAGCCGAGCATCAGAATGGGGAAGAAAAGGGGATTTAAGTGACTTTGAACGTGACATGGTTGTTGGTGCCAGACGGTCTGGTCTGAGTATTTCAGTAACAGTGATCTGCAGGGATTTTCACGCACAACCATCTCTCGGGTTTACAGAGAATGGTCCGAAAAAGAGAAACTATCCAGTGAGCGGCAGTTGTGTAGACGGAAATGCCTTGTTGATGTCGGAGGTCAGAGGAGAATGGGCAGACTGGTTCAAACTAATAGAAAGGCGACAGTAACTCAAATAACCTCTCGTTACATCCGAGGTCTGCAGAATACCATCTCTGAACGCACAACACGTCCAACCTTGAAGCAGATGGGCTACAGCAGCAGAAGACCACACCGGGTGCCACTCCTGTCAGCTAAGAACAGGAAACAGAGGCTGCAATTCGCACCGGCTCACCAAAATTGGACAATAGAAGATTGGAAAAACGTTGCCTGGTCTGATGGATTTCAGCTGCCACATTCGGATGGTCGGGTCAGAATTTGGTGTAAACAACATGAAAGCGTGGATCCATCCTGCCTTGTATCAACAGCTCAGGCTGGTGGTGGTGGTGGTGTAATGGTGTGGGGGATATTTTCTTGGCACACCTTGGGCCTGTGATGCTATCCGGTCAATATGGACCAGAATCTCTGAGGAATGTTTCCATCACCTTGTTGAATCTCTGCCACGAAGAATTGAGGCAGTTCTGAAGGCAAAAGGGGGTCCAACCTTATAAAGTGGCCGGTGAGTGTAAGGTCCCTGTCTCTTATACATACTAGGGCCAGCTTAGGCAGGAGCTAAATTACCTACCAGCATAACTTTAGAGTGTGGGAGGAAACCCAAACAAACACTTTGACAACATGCAGATAGTGACCTGGCTGGGATTCGAACCGGGGAAGCCAGTGCTGCAAACCACTGTGCTGCCCCTTCATTTGTATTGGGTTCCTCCAGGTGATTTGGTTTCTTCCCACAGGCCAAAAGCATACCGGTAGTTTGAGTGACATATGGCCAGGCTGCTCCTTTTGTTAATGTACCTGTAAATTATAAGCTGCTGCGGGGCAGGGACTGGTGTGAACGGAGGTGCGTGCTCTGTGACGTGCTGTACCTTAGCACTGTATCTGTACAGGAAATAATATGTAATGGTTACACGTAGTATAACAGTGATGAACTCTTCATAACTTGTGTCACTGCTACATGTTCATCTTTCTCGTGATCTTTACAGGTACACGGAAAACAATCTCAGGGGGGGCTCTCCATGTTGAAGGGAGTGAAAGCCATGATTGAAGAGGGAGGATTGCGCTCACTGTGGCGGGGGAACGGTATCAATGTACTGAAAATAGCTCCAGAGTCTGCTATCAAATTCATGGCGTATGAACAAGTAAGATGTCTTCCTGTCACATCCTTTTCGCGCTGAGGAAGGGACCCTGGGTGGCCCCAAAACGTTGGCATTTGTTATTGTGACAATCTGTCCAATTAAATGGACATATTGAAAGATATTGCTGAGTGCTGGCGATCCTTGTCTTCTATCTTGTATCTGCACGGCGCCATCCGTGGTCATCACTGCGAGCACCACTGTTGCATAGGCTGGGAATGCTGTGAGGTGTGCGGAGGGTTCTTCTATCTACCTACACTTGACTAGGAAGCATTTACCCTCCCCCTGTTCACCACCTTGGCTTCTTCTCACTCCCTGGGCTTCTCTTGTGCTGCTCCCCCTTCCTCAAGCTCTCAGAGACTCTCCAGGACATCAAGCCCACTCTGACATGAGTACAGTGCTGCAGTCGATGAAGGCTCACTTGATTTGTTAAAGATAGAGCTGTCCTTCAAAGTACTTTTAGTGAAGTTGCTCCTCCAGATATGCAGCTTCCTGCCACCCTATATTTGCCTATTCCTATTGGCCAGTGAGGCTGCCCATCATAATCATGGGCCATTCGAAGTCTGTAGGGGCAGATCTTAGCAGCAAGCTCTGGTAATACATGGCTGCGTCGAAGGTTTGTGTGTCGGAACGGATTGGCATTTGCCCATGACAGGAAGGTTTGGGCAGGCACTGCAGGTTGTGGAACCCTAGGTGCCGCCACTTCAAGGGTTAAGTTAAAGTGTACCTGTCATTAGGGAAATATATGGGCTGCCATGGCTGGCCTCCTTATGAAGGTAGGTATTGTGCCTATCGCTGGCTGTCAGCAATTGGCTCAGTAACTTTGACTCCGAGAGCATTGAAACCTGGAGCACCAGCATGACAGCCAGGAAACTGGTATTTCAGATGGAAAGGTCTGCAATGACAGCCACCATACTTCTCTCATGACAGATCTACTTTAAAGAGACAATGCTACCTTGCCCATTCAAGGCAACTGCAAATACCACCCCTTCCAGCGTACTGATAATCACCTTGTCAATCCTTCCCTGCTGTTCCTGCCGGCCGACTGACGTCAGACGCTAGAGGCAGCAGTGACATCCCTCCCTCTGTCATGTGGCAGTGCTCAGGCCTAGCAATAGACCGCCAGACCCAAGGGCTTTCACAGACCCAAGGACTTTCACAGACCCAAGGACTTTCACAGACCCAAGAACTTTCACAGACCCAAGGGCTTTCACAGACCCAAGGGCTTTCACAGACCCAAGGGCTTTCACAGACCCAAGGGCTTTCACAGACCCAAGGGCTTTCACAGACCCAAGAACTTTCACAGACCCAAGAACTTTCACAGACCCAAGGACTTTCACAGACCCAAGGGCTTTCACAGACCCAAAGACTTTCACAGACCCAAGGGCTTTCACTGACCCAAAGACTTTCACAGACCCAAGGGCTTTCACAGACCCAAGGACTTTCACATGTAAGGAGGTCACATGCTCCACCAGATATTGTCCCCAACTGTGACAGAAGCAGGAGTGGCAGGTAGGGGGCCCCATTACAAGGACGCTATCATTGGGCCCTGTATGAGCCTGGTGACACTGTCTCTTTAAGGCTATAGGTCAGGGACATGCTTTTTTAGACTTGTTTCCGGCACTGAAAGTCTAAAAGAATGTAAAATATGTTGTGATGAGGGTGATTGCTTTATAAAACGTAGCCGCAGGAGAAGAAACGCTAACAAGCTTGGTTTTCCTGTCTAGATAAAGAAGGTCATCCGTGGTCAGCACGAAACGCTGCGGGTCCAAGAGAGGTTCATTGCGGGGTCGTTGGCCGGAGCCATCGCACAGACCGTCATATATCCAATGGAGGTGAGGACCCGGAGGGATGATATGGAGCCGTTAGAGGGGAATCTCTAGTCTGTGCTCTCTGAGTTCTTACATAGAACTCCAATCTTGTTGTGACCGCCATGTGTGTATTTACTCCCCGGCCATTGTTTTTTTCACATAGAGATTTGTAGTTGCCAGACATCTCCAGTTCGCAGCCTTGCAGACTATCAAGGTTATTCACACAAGGGTGAAGAGTTTGGAGAAGGCCGGAGAAGATAACAATCCAGGACAGCGGTTCTCAACCTGTGGGTCGCGACCCTGTCAGGGGTCGAATGGCGATTTGCCAGAGGTCGCCTATTATATCGCAGAATAACACCAACCACAGAGGACTACAAATCCCAGCAATAGAACATTATAGTATAATGGACTATTTCTGCGATTTGTTGTATCCGTCTGGGATTCGTTGTCTCCTTTAAGCAGTGGTTCTCAACCTGTGGGGTCGCTGTGTGATTTCTGCTGTGCTAGGTGAGAGTCCTCCTCAGCCCTCTCCTAGCGCAGCAGTGTCAGTTCTCCCGCCACGCCGCCAGATGTCGCTGCAGCAGCCGCGTCATCCCTAAATGTTACCGTTGGTGGTCACAACAACTTGGCAAATGTTACCAAGGGGTCCCGGCCCTAGGAAGGTTGAGAACCACTGATCTAGGACAACATCGCTGACCTGGAAAGTGAGATGAGTTGGAGAATGTTTCCAGTTCAGCGATGTTGTCCTAGATTGTTCACTTCTCCGGCCTCCTCCAAACTCCTCACCCTTGTGTGAATAACCTTTCATAGTGTTTTTGGATCAATTTGTTTTTTATTGTACGGGATTTTAAAGTGATCGGTAGCACGGGACTCCCAGAACTGCCCGGCAAACATCTAAATGCAGAGACTAGATACATATAAAGGAGCCATTTTATCTGCCAAATAATCTGCATCGCAGTCCTCACCACACCACTGGATGCCGCTTTCTTTGTTACAGCTAAAGTAGATCGGCAGGAATTGTATTTTTAATGTTTAGATTCCTCCTCCCCCTTATAAAAAAATATATTGACATTCTCTACTTTTGTGTCATTCTGCCCACTTCCTGTAAGCCCAGCCATTCATTAACACGTCCCCTAGATCAGAAGCAAACTCCAGCACTCCAGCTGTGGTGAGACTACAAATCCCATGATCCATCTGTCTCTGGGAGTCATGTCGGTGACTGTGAGGATCTTGCAATGCTTCATGGGATTTGTAGTTTCACAACAGCTGGAGGGCTGGATTTTGCCCACCCCTGCCCTAGGGGGTGCGTCATAATGCAGGCTGGGCTGACGGTGATCACCACAGAGGTAAACGCATTGGTGACGTCATTGGACTGCCTATAAGACTGCTGGAAAAAGGTATGAATTTGGTTTGGGGGTTGTCCGTGAGTAGTAATATCTGGGAAGGGGGGGGTGTCACTTATGTTATTTCTGGAGTTCGGCTTTTTAGGAGAGCACAGCAGCAGGAATCTCCTATCAGATGTTAGGTCTGTGATGGAGCTGTATGGAGAGGAGAGGAGGACTCACTGCTCTGATTCATTCACTTGTGTGTGTAAATTTCAGCTTGAGCTATTGGGCTCTGTAAAAAGACTTTTTCAAAGCAGAATACAGGAGGTGAGGAGGGACATAAAAGTACGACAGCACAAAGAACAGTGAGCGAGTTGTAGGTATTACAACCAATTAGAACACCGCAGTCAGTTGCTATGGTTTGAGGCACTTGGCTTACTCTCCCATAATGCATTGCTTCAGCAACCATTGCAGTAATTAGTCTTTGTCCTTTGTACATCTCCCAGGTATTGAAGACTCGGTTGGCTCTCCGGCACACTGGTCAGTTCTCTGGGATGTCAGACTGCGCTCGGCATATCCTGCGCACCGAGGGGGTGAGAGCGTTCTCTAAGGGCTACCTTCCGAACCTGCTGGGTATCGTGCCGTACGCAGGCATTGACTTGGCAGTGTACGAGGTACGTTTAATGCTGAACACATATCATGACTTCCCTTGTGTCCCCCCCGCCCCCCACTGGTTAACATGCAAGTCAAATTGTATTTCTTAATTGAAAATTGAATCATTTATTACAGGCATTTATATAGCACTGCCCCAAGGAGCTTACAATCTAACAATCCTATATACTAGGGATGCACCGATACTGGTATTTCGATATCGAGTATGAGTACCGATATTTTGTTTTCGGTACTCACCGATACCGGAAGTCCCATTCAGGAAGCGTGTAAAGATTCGCCACCCGGCTTGCCGATTAGCAGGGAAGCCGTCCCCATGCTTCTCATAACTAGGTGACGAGAAAGCATGGAGCCGGCTTTCTGACAAATCAGGAAGCCAGGCACTGTGTAATGACGCGGCTCCCGGCTTACTGATTGGCCGGGAAGCCGGCTCCATGCTCCCTCGTCATGAGGTGACATGGGAGCATGAAGCCGGCTTCCTGACCAATCAGAAAGCTGGGTGCCGTGTAATGATTACACGGTTCCTGGCTTCCTGATTGGCCAGCTTCCGACCAATCAGAAAGCCGGGCAGCGCACCATTGCACGCTGCCCGGCTTCCTGATTGGCCGGGAAGCCGACTCCCAGCATCGATCCGGGCCAAACAGCCGGCTCCTTGCTGATTGGCCGGGAAGACGGTTTCCTGGCCGAACAGCCGGCTCAATGGGTATTGGCTGGGAAGCTGGCTTTCCAGCCAGTCAGCATCGAGTCGGCCTCCCAGCCAATCAGGAAGCCGGGTGGCAAGTAAATGACCCACCTTGCAGCTTCTTGATTGGCAGAAAGCCAGCTCGATGCTGATTGACTGGAAAGCCAGCTTTCCAGCCAATCAGCATTGAGCCGTCTGTTCGAGTAGCTCGATGCTGGCTGGCCGGGAAACTGGCTACCTGGCCAATCAGGAAGGAGCCCGCTGTTCTGTCCGGCTCGATGCTGGGAGCCGGCTTCCCGGCCAATCAGGAGGCGGGTCCTTACTCGCCGCCCAGCTACCTGATCGCACGGGAAGCCGGCTCCATGTTACTTTACAGCACTGCCGGTCAGAGGAAATCTTCGTCTGACCAGAAGTTCCGGTATCAGGGAAGGTATCGGAGCATTCCTATACAATAGCCCAGCAGGGGGGTTCAATTATTATATTTTCTTGTTAGGTCAGCGGGGCTGAATGAGAATATTCGTGGAGTACATGGACGGCTTCAGAGAGAAAGTCAAAGACTGTTAGTCCTTGGACACTGGATCGGTAGGGGGGGTTGTACAGAAAAGGTGTTGATGATAATACATGGACCTGCAGGCACCTTATAATGCCTATGATAATTATAGTTGGGGAGATGCGAGATAATTATAGTGAGGGGGGGGGGGGGGGGGGGGGAAAAGGGGGGGGGGGAGATGTGACAAGTTCACAGGTGACTGACTATTGGCCTCATTTTTTTATTGGCCTCATTTTTTTAATTTCCTTTGTAATAACATCCGATTCTTTCCCCATCACAGACTCTGAAGAACACGTGGTTACAGAGGTACCAAGCTGGCAGCAGCCCCAATCCAGGAATTCTGGTCCTGTTGGCTTGTGGGACCGTATCCAGCACATGTGGGCAGATTGCCAGCTACCCGTTAGCCCTGGTCAGGACACGCATGCAGGCACAAGGTGGGAATGTGAGGGACTTGCTCTTTATCTAGGAACGTTATAGTAGTAGAGTATTGTACTGTGTTAGCCAGTTGATGCCAAATGTTTGGAGTTTAACAGGGTTAGTCACATAAGGGTGAAGAGTTTGGAGAAGGCCGGAGAAGGGAACAATCGAGGACAACATCGCTGACCTGGAAAGTGAGCTGAATTGGAGAATGTTTCTACCTAGAGTCACACTATATAGCGCCAGAGAGTCTGGGGGGTTAGGGGTCCCAAATATATATAATTATTATCGGGCCGCACGGATAGCTCAGCTATCTGCTATTTATGTAGCGGAGGAACCACCAGATTGGGCTCTCATGGAATCCAAGGCAGCTAGAGATCTGCCTCTAGACTTATTGAAATGGTTACCTTCAAGATTACGCCCTTCCATTATGGCCCCGACTCTTTCTAACTCTTTAACCCTTTGGGACCGTGTGAAAACATTCAAAAATATCAGCTCGTCCCACACCCCGCTGGCCCCTTTATATCAGAATCCAGCATTTTTGCCTGGAATACACTTGAAAAGACCATCGGTCGAGTGATTGCTAACCTCAAGATAACAAGATGGGACGTAGGTATATCTTCAGGGGGTAAAATAGGAATAGTTCCGCTAAGGCCGAAGTTTAGAGCGGGAAGCTGGGCAGGGGGCCAGCTTGAGCCGAAATAAAAAACGGTAGGCTTGTGTCGACAATTGAGACCAGATACTAGAGATGGAAAAATAAGGAATCCCGAAGACTGTCTTTTTGTTTTATGTTGTTCTGTTACATTGTAGTATGTAGATGGACATTGTATATGCCTCAATGAAAATAATAATAAAAACTTTTGAACTAAAACATTGCTAGGGGCTTGTTTCCACCAGTCCGTGCGTCTACCGCCATGTCCCGTGCCCGGAACGCAAGGGATCGCATATATAAATTCTCCTTGCGTTCTGGGGCGGGAAGGGGCGTGGCAGTGCCATTCAAGACACTGGCACTGCAGACACACCCCCCGCCTGCAGTACCATGGGCCGCACAGGACCGCGTGGTAATAAAATGCCCTGCGTTCCAGTGCGGTGGCATCGCAAAAAATAGGGCATGCAGTAAATTGACTTGAACGGCACTGCCATGTACCCTCCCCCCCCCAGAACGCAAGGAGACTTTATATATGCAATCCCTTGCGTTCCGGCCACGGGACATTGCAGTTGACGCGCGGCCTGGGGGAAACAAGCCCTGAAGACGCCTTTGTTGTTATTTTGAAGATTTGGGTAAAGTTCCTCTTTTAACACGCCATCAGCTGACGAGAATGAGCCGAGTGCACATACACTATATTGCCAATTTTATATTTACACGCACATGAACTTTAATGGCCCCCCAGTCTTAGTCTGTAGGGTTCAGTATTGGGTTGGCTCCGCCCTTTGCCGCTATAACAGCTTCAACTCTTCTAGGAAGGCGTCCACAAGGTTTAGGAATAGGCAATATAGTGTATATAAGAAGACGGGGATGTCGCCTTTCATATAACACTGGAAATCATTTCCTGCCGGTCTCTTCCCCTCGTCACATGTTGTATGTTGCAGGAGCTTGCGCCATAAGAGTTGCCGTGTTCATTCTTACATATAATGCTTCTTTCTTCCAGCCACAATCCAGGACGCCCCGCAGCTGTCCATGGTAGCTCTGTTCCGTTACATCGTGGCTCGGGAAGGGTTCCTGGGCCTGTACCGAGGAATCGCTCCGAACTTCATGAAAGTGATACCCGCTGTCAGCATTAGCTACGTGGTGTATGAGAACATGAAACGCCTGCTGGGGGTGACTAGCCGATGAAGAGAGTGTCGCTCATCAGCCCCCTCTGCGGTATCCAGGCACACGGAATCCAGGCACACGGAAGAGACTCTCAGAAACCACAAAGCGATGTCCAGAAATGTCCGCTATCAGCGGCGATGGGCCACATCCAAATATCTAACACCCCCCATCACCCGCCACGCTCTCGTTCACATGTACCCGAAGACACGGCACCTTCAGAATGTACACATCCGGTTACCCCCCTGGGCTCGGGTTCAGTATCAATATTCAAGGTTCTCCCCCTGTTTTTATAATACTGACATCATACAGTGATG